CCCCAAAACCCCAAAACCCCACAAGCATTAATTAACACTATCAAGTAAAAATTTAATTGACAAATTAAATGCAAAATAAATAATTACTAAAACTATTTTCTAATGTCTTTCCATTATAATCATTAGAGCTCAAAATCAACAGCTCCAATAACAGAAGATCAAAATAAAGGCTAGCTTAATGTGGTGGAGGAGGAGCACTCCCAGGACAAGGAAGAACAAAAATCCAAGGTCGGAAACAACGTGGTCTACGAGCATCACGGCAATACAATCACTGTGTAATCGACCAAGGTCATCGGAGAATACAATTACTCTTTTGTCTCTGTTTCGCCAACGTACGAATCACTCTCCCTCTGTCATTCAACTGCTAAACCCTAATTAATATAGTAAAAAGGCTATGGTTGACACTCCAATGCTTAAAAAGATCAAGGTAATTCAGATGAATGAGATGAAAACATGGAAAGGACTCCAAGTGGAATATATTACTCGTCCTGGTAATAATATTCTCACTAATTTAAACACTTTTAGGTATCGTCAATCTACTCACTAGCAAAAAGCTCCTTAAAACATCGGAATACTTCAAGGTACTCTTATCTTCAATTCGCATTAACTCAACCTTCTATAGCTGGAAGATGAAAGATTCAAAATCTTCTTAGAGGGACTCATCAGATATCGTGAATGGGAAGAAGAGAGACTTAACTCAGTTTACTAATTTTAGGATCAGCAGACTAAACAAAAAGAAATAAATTTAAGGGGATCTGAGTACATTCAGTTCAAAAATCTTAAAGACCCATCAATTGTATCACAAGCACATTTTAATTGACTCTTATTTGTAGTTGATGCGAGAAGGACCGCTTCCTATTTCTGCGTATAACAAAGGTGGAATTATTGGAGCAGCTACAGCGACAGGGGGTTTCCTAGACCAAAGCCATCATGATTTACTGTATAAAATAGTAAAAACAGATGGAAAACTCATTAGGGCCTTGTTAGAAAATAATGGGTTTCTGCAAACAGAGGCTCATGACTGGAATGTTTTATGGACTTGTCAGAGTATGAAGCTGAGTCAGTATGAGGGCTTGAATGAAAATCAGAAAATCAATCATTTTCCTCAGTCATATGAACTCACCAGAAAAGATAGGCTTTGCTACAATGTAGTCTAAATGTAAGAGAAATTCAGCAAGGAAGAGTTTAACATTATACCAGACACCTATATCCTTCCTGACGAATTCGCTGACTTCTATTCACATTTTCACAAGCTTAAATCGAAAGAGCAGAGCAATTTATGGATTATCAAACCACAAAATTCATCTCAGGGCAAAGGTATTTACATTGTAAGCAGATTTTAGTTTTAAATCTTGATAGATAGATGACATATCTGAAGTCCCCATTGATGAATCTTGTATAGTCAGCAGATATATTACTAACCCTCTACTTATTAATGGCTTGAAGTTCGATCTGAGAATCTATGTCTTAATTACTAGTGTTGATCCTTGGAGGATTTACGTCTATCATGAAGGTCTTGCTAGATTTGCCAGTGAACCCTATCAAGCACAAACTAGCAAGCAAAATAAATTTGCTCATTTGACAAACTATTCAATCAACAAGAAGAATGATAAGTATATTCCAAATCTTAACGCAGAGTAAGATGACTCTGGACATAAATGGAGTTTAGCTGCTCTTTCTAAGCATCTAGAGCAGATAGGAATAGATTTGAACCTAATGTGGTCGAAGATCTATGATGTCATCTTGAAGTCTTTACTGTCTATTGATTCCATTATATACTAAAATCTCAAGAAGCTACCAAATAAGAACAACTGTTTCGAGTTACTTGGATATGATATTCTTATCGACAGTGAATTGAAGTAAATTAATATTCTGTAATATAATATTAGACCCTGGCTGATGGAAGTTAATCTTTCCCCTTCTCTGGCTACTGATTCCCCTCTTGATGTGAAAATCAAATCTGGTTTGATAATAGATACTTTTAACCTGGTCGGCATAAAAAAGTTTGATAGAAGAAGGGATAATCTAACAAAGATGAAAAACAGAGTCAAAAATATAATAAGGGCCAAATCTTATTAGTCAAGGTAGAATAATCCTTAGGCTAATGGGTAGACAAAGAATGGAGTCTTCTAAGGTACGTACATTACTTAAATTTACGTAGGTAAATTAGATGACGGTAATGAAAACGAGTTCTTTTACAAGAACAAGCTGCTCTTTGAAAGGATTTCAGTAAGATATAATATCATTATCTGATCTAAGCTATTTACAGTAAATCAATGGCCGTCATAGAGATATGATCAGGGAAACACTTTAGGAACATGCCCGTCGGAATAACTTTATCAGAATATACCCATCCAAGAACTCTGATATCTATGATTAGTACTTCATTACTCCTAGACCGAGTAATAAATTCCTCTATCGATATCTGTTTTGTGATGAAATCATTCACTTTCCAGCAGGTTATCCAGCTGCAGGAGCAAATATTACTTAGAAGCATCTGCCCTTGCCTGAAGGTTCAGACTACGGTCATGATCAGCATTTCGGCCAAGGATAATCTTTCATGGCATAAACTGGATTTCCATCTCAATTCAGCATGAATAATCATTAAACTTCAACTAATGATATATAGAAGATATAAAATAGCAATAGAACTAATTCAGCCATATTGAAAAATAGATAAGATAATGTTGGATCTAAGAAACTACTATAATCTGCAGGATAGGCATAGAGTTTAGCTAATCAGGTCTAAGAGTAGTAAGTCTTGCAGTAATAGTAGTAAAAGGAAAAGTTATTGATAACTGGCGATGATGTCTTGATAGAGTATGTAGCAAGACTAATGATAGCAGTGAAAAGCATAAAGGAGCATATCTTGAGACCTAGTTGGAAAAATCAAATTGAAAAATTCATCAAGCATTACGTTTGGCATTCTTCTGATGTGAGGAGAGCTGAGAATAATAAACTCTGGCAAAGGCTTGAATCTAGGCTTATAGAAATGAAAGAGAGAAGAAAGAGACTGCTGAAGAGTTTATACAAGAAAGAGAATCCTTAACATTTAAGTTAAATAGCAGGGCAATCTAAGTAATCTACTCTGACTCATTAGGGCATCTTGGATTTTGAGAAGGAATATGAGCATAAGGAGGAGTAGAAAAATGTTATAATATAGGGGTTCTCAGCAGCATAGCTTGAAGAAATGCTGAGAACTTCCACTAAAAATGTAGCTTATGAGGTGATTTCATGTTTGATAGATTAAACTGGCAAAGGAGTGCTGACTGAAATTATTAAATGGCTTACTACCTGCAATCAAAATCTATTAAATGATTAAGAGTCTATCTTGAATCAACTAAGCCGTAAGAAAGATGTAGATGAAAGTGAAGAGGAGCCAGAGAGTTTTATTTACGCACCTGCTGGCAGTGGAAACACAAAGACAGGAGCCGAAAATAACTCAACTACTTCTGTAGGATCGGCAAGCATAGGAAGTGGAAACTCAGGCGATGTTAGAATTAAAATTAGGAAAAATTCTATGGAACCTCATTCTAAAATGAAGGCTAATCACTCTTAATTGATATAACAAAAACTTAAACAGTAGGAGAAATAAAATTAGGGGTAGTCTTAGAAGTAGGATACCTAAGAAAACTAGTCGATTGAGAACATTAACTAACAGATTAATGAAAAAATATTGACGATGAGTATTTCACCTGGCCCGCATTAAAAAACTCACAGTTCGCTTGTTTCAAATTCTAAAATAGACACTCCTTAGAATGATATGGTTGGAGTAGGCTAAGCAAGAGCAATCATTAAAAACATTAATTAGACTAATGAAGAAATTAAGGATGATGCCTTGAAGAACAGTCTCTACGGTTCTCCTAATGACAAAAGCAACAGATCGTTTCAAGTAAATAAAGAGCAGGATTTCACTTCTACGACCAAGCTCAACCTTTAAAACTTTACATAACAAAATTTCGACTTCTAAAAGTCATCAGCAATGGGCACAGAGAGAAAGAAGCTACAGTCAAGTGAGGTTAATCAATAAGTGTAGCTTAATCAAGCTCTTCAAAAAATGAGTGGTAAGTCTCTCGTTTCAAATCCTGGCTAGTCAATCGACTCATCATAATCAAAGGCTAGCAATACTATCAACTTGATGGATAAAAACACATCAACAAGTAATAGCTCTTATTTCAAAACTTACCAATCCCAGCTAAAAACAGACATCGTTCAGTAAAAGGCAATTGTTAATCAGGGATCTGACAACCAAAATAATCAGCAAAATACTGATGTTAATAGCTTTAACGCCTCTGTATCATCCTAAGCTAACACTAATATGTTGAATAGCGGCAATGTAGTAACAGTCTACGGTTCCTAATTCTCTAATTCTAAAAATGGGCTTAACAATGGCAATACAAGCAATTTCTCGTAGTCATTAGGCTTGACACCGTAATCATCGAACCCAGCTTCAGCTGCAAAGAAGGTAATTAAGATGAATGGTACTAACAGAAAGACATACAGCTCAGTCAAGAGAAGTCAGAACAATCCGACAGCAGTCCAGAGCACAAATATAACAGCATCTAATGCTAATAACAATAACGGGGGTGCTGATTAGATCGGTGACATGAAGAAAAGTCAAGTAGCAAATAAAAATGTTCCTGCTGGAGGGAATGCCAATAGTAATAAGGTGTCGGGAACTGTATCATAAAATGTAGCTAAGCAGAACTGAGTGAAGAAATAACTTATTTAGGATGTAGTGTCATGATATGAATATATTAACATTCGAACGATCTATATAGTTGTAACTTTTATTTAAATAATACTATCACTCAATTACATTAATTATTAACAGATGGGGTTTTGGGGTTTTGGGGTTTTGGGGTTTTGGGGTTTTGGGGTTTTGGG